ACTGCTAAACGAATTAGCAGACGAAATTGATACAAATTGAATTTAGAAGTAAATGAATGAATGAAAAATGAAATAAAGTTGAAATAGATTGCAAATTGACGTCAGAAATGTTAGATTCGCATTCGCCAGATTTTTCGTCGCCATCTTGTAAACAACCCGCGCGCTGAGCAAACAGCGTTTTGAATTTGCGCGCAAACGCTCGCGAGCGCTCGCTCGCGCAGTGTCGTTCAGACGGCGAGCGCTCGCGAGCGCTCGCGAGCGTTCGGTCTCCTGAACACGCCTCTGGACTGTAGTACCTGAGGCTGATACGACAACGCCCCCTTCAGCGTAACTAATTGACGTCGTAAAAAATGTAATGTACTGTGGAGTGGAGTGTCTAGTCTACACAGTATGCTACTGTAGATTGGTATCATGAATATATGTATTTTATATCTTCTAATTTCTATATCTATATTAAATACATTTTTAAGAGAAATTTTACTACACTACTAGTAAAAATTGGATGACAGAAGAGTGATTCGATCATTGATTGGATAAAGATAGAAAATATATGACGGGAGATGTGCTATGCTTGATATATAGTGTTTGTAACTTCTCAATGCGTTCTTTGTCCGTTTTCCAGAATGACAAACTCGTGTCACAAAAAATGTGTCCCGCCAAAATATCGAGAAGGAGACCTGAGTAAGGGCGAGGCTGTTTGCTTAGATAGATGTGTGGCAAAGTACTTGGATATACACGACAAGATTGGCAAAAAACTAACGCAGATGTCCATGCAGGACGAAGCTATGGTGAAACAGTTGCAGCAGCAGCAGTCGTAACCCTAGAACTCTTCAACTAGAATGGCAACGGAATTTCCGTGCAGGAGTAGGAAATTGTAGGTTTTGGTCAACCATGCCACGGGATTCGCAATGTCAGGAGAGATAAGGCCGAGAGGACAGCATTGGATAAAATGATGGTTCAACCTTTGGTTCCAGCCTATGCACCGAGTAGAAACCGAGAATATGTCAATTTATTTCACATTGAAATGAGTACATTTTATTCTCATTTTGTTGTTTAAATGTGTCAGGTCAAAGCAAGTGTAGAATCTTTGAGCATATGTGTTAAAATTAAACCTTGTTGCATAGACTCGCTACTGCCAATTTTTTTTCATATAATGGCATCACGTGTTTCAAAGAAATCCCAGTGAATAAATACAGTTTTATTTAATTGAACTGTTTCAAAATTTTATCACAATGTTACTTGGATCAACTTTAATTTATTACATTCAATAATACCTAAAATATATGTAAAGGCAATATCACAACATTTTATCATGCTATTAGACATTCATATAAATTGGTTTACTTTTTAAATTCTGTGATATAAGAAAGACTTAATTTACGAATATCGATATACGACCAAACACAAAATTAGTGAACACTTCGTGACTGTATATTTATATTTAAAATTAATTAATGCAAAATTATCAATGTTAGAAAAAACATTACATTTCTGTTAATCTATATCTATACTATAATTTGGCTAATCTTGTGTGTGTGTGTGTGTTTGTTTGTCCTCGCTTTTCGCCCTATGATTTGTCACTCAAATCGCGCTAACTGAAGATATATTCAGAATCACCACGTCTGGGAGATGGTTCTGGCTGAGAAAAAAATTTAAAAAAGTTTCAGTATTAAGTATTAAGTCAAAAATTCGAAAAAAATGCTATTCGTCAATAGATGGCAGTGCGTACAGCAGATCCACATCACATACGTGGGAATTACACTGCGTCTCTTGACTGCCGCCGTATGAGCATATTCAGAATCACCACACGTCTGGGAGATGGTTCTGGCTCAAACAAAAATCTATTCCTCAATAGATGGTGCTACGTCTCAGATCCCCCCTCTGCAGATTCCCCCTGCTCACTCTGCTTTGACGTACATCGTACTGACACAGTAGTCGGTGGCCAGTAGCTGTGCCAGTGTTCTGTTGTACCCAGTGCAGTGGTTTTCTTTTCAGTTACATGAAATATTTTATCAAAAACTTTATCTGTGTCACTTACATGGAGTTTATATTTAAAGACAACATTTGCTGGTTCTACGGGTATACTTTCTGCTAGTATATATAAAGTTGTTCAGCCGAATTAGTCCGTACTCGCGTAACTAGATAACTCCGCAGCCTAGAGGAAAACTAAAGATATTTTCAGAATCAGCACGTCTGGGAGGTGGTTCTGGCTGAAACAAACATTTAAAAAAGTTAAAAAGTTAAAAATTGATAAAAATTCTATTCATCTATAGATGGCGGTGCGTACAGATTAACATCACGTGCGTGTGAATCCATGGTGTATACACTTAACGGCACAGTAGCCTAATTGCTAGAACATCCGTCTCCTACACCGGGATTCCGGGTTCGAGTCGCAGCTGGGGAACTTTTTTTCCTTTTTTTTCCTTTACCTACCTCTTTAGTATGTATTATTTTTAATTTTCTACTTTTTAATTGTAATTTTTTATTTTTAATGTCTTATCTTTTGATTTCTTATTATTTTTACTGTTTGGGATGGGATGGGATGGGATGGCATGGAATGGCATGGGATGCGATGAGATGGGATGGCATGGGATGGGATGGGATGCGGTGCGATGGGATGGCATGGGATGGATGGATGCATGCATGGATAGATAGATAGCAGGGCTTGAAACTCCCGCTCGCCCGAGGCTAGTAGAATGTCTGGGCTGACCAGCCCTGTTGGCGAGTGGGAATGCCTACCAGATAACATATTACTAGTACTTTTTCAGCAACTACTAACCCGACCGAACTCGTAATACATCAACACAATGATGCAGCAACATAGTAAAATTGCAAAACCTAAACTTAACAGTCACGATACCTCGGACAATAAAATCGGTTCCATTCCAACCACCATGCTGCTCTATTCACAAGCTCATGCCAATCCCCTCACAGTGTATACGCAATACTTTTCTGTTCTACTTTCTGTTTACGTTCGTGGACCGGTTAGTTTACGTTTCAGCTGATCTCAGGGTTAAACACTACAATCCCTCCCCTTTTCAAACGAAAAGATGATTTCAATTTGACGTTTGCTAAATATCAAATTAGAAACTAAACTTTACTTATAGTAATACTTATAGAGAGTTGGAATCATCCTGGTTAATATACAATCCAGTCTCTGTGTCTATAATTGACGTGGAATAGTAGTCACGGTTTTGTCAGGTACTGTTATGAAAATAACCTCTTTAAACCTACATTCCTGTAATTGATATTCTAAGCCTTTTATAATACGATGTTCATCCTAACACTAGCATAACACGCTTCTATGTGGCTTATATTCAGTCAACTAAGCAATACAACTCTACAAATCTCAAACTAACACAAACATGATAACTCAACTTATAACTCTATACTGTAATTGTACTAACTACTAACAAACTCTGTACTTGTAGTAGAGAATTACTAGAGTAGTAGAGATATAGTCACAAACGGTTCAAATTAAACGTGAACTTTCACATTTCCGTAGACTGACTAATAGTTCTAATTGTTACTATAAGGAATTATTCTGCTCTTATAACATAGTACTGATGTATTTGTATATATGTATACATATATATATATATTGAATCTATGCTAAATCAAAATTTTCACAAAGTCAAGGAATTTCGCAGAATGTATCTCGGAGGGGCTAAAATCAAAACCCAGATCTCCCCCCCCCCCCCCCCGCAAATGGCAAAATTGTGCTCACTGCGTAGCTTCAGCGCGGCACTTCAGAAAAGTAAGGGCTGGGAGATTTTACAGGTCACTAGCCCTGCTGGCTACTGAACATTTTAGGTTAGTTTCAAGCCCTGGATAGTTATATTTTTTGGGGTATTTTCCTTTCAACCAAGCGGTCACCAACTGAGTAACGCCACCGATTTCCCCTGGCAACGCCGGGTATCCTGCTAGTAACTATATAACTGAATGTCAGTAAGCTTGTCAAGCATAATGCTTTTAACTAATAATACAATTATTACTTGATATGCGATTTTTAAATAAATCTCTACACATAGAAACCTACAATTGTCCTGACATTTATTGATTTGGTATGTAAATTATACATATAACATATAAAATAATTTCACTGATGTAACAGTAAATATAACGCAAGTTTCATACATTTGTATGCTACTACACAATTCAGAATCCAAGTTTAGGATCAATTCTCGAATAGTACATTTTTAATATTTTATTCATGTAGGCCTACACACAATTATAAGGTATGTGAATGAATTTAGTTCGGATATATCGCAGCAAGAAATTATCTACGCGGAAAGGAATGGCAGTTGGAAATGTTCATAATTCTACGATGGCATAATTAGTGAAATGATACCCAATTAATGCTTTGCCATTAAACTACACCATAACAAGGTGCATGCACACGTGTATACATTAACCATCGCATGTTGTTGCACACCCCTGGAAGTCTTACACATCGGTTACCAGTGGGCACAATGGTTACCAGCCACTTTCTCCACAAAGTCGGCGTGGCTAGCAAAAAGGCACAGAGTTCTACTGATGTCCGTCCATCGCACACCTGCCAAGAGGTGTTGGAAATTCAAGGATATTTCAAGACAACGGAATTAATTTTCATCGTCAAAAGTCAATCTTACTCCTGACATCTTACAGATTTGTAGTATCTAAAAAATTATATATCATGGCATCGTTAATCTAGTAAGATTTTTATCATTTTAATGAAAAATTCTTTTCATAACCAATACATTTAAAGCAGTGCCATGTTAATTTTTATCATAAAAATTGCATTTAATTTCATATAGTTTTATTGATAATATATCGTATGATTTTATGTAGCATGCTCTGTTTCAACATACGAATAAACCATATACTTAATAACTTGAAAATCTCAGACGCACCTATAGCATCGTCGCCAGCGTGCAACGCAAACTTGCCCAGGCTATTTCCTGACTCATCGTGAAAGTTCACCGCTACCGTCTCCATCCATGAGTTGTCTGTGTTGCGTGGGTCATCCACATAGCCTCTGTAGACCTTTTGTACGCCAACAGCAAATCAGCAGTAAGTCTGGGATATATCTAACGTTAACTGCTGGTTCAGCTGTTTAAACCGTTAAGACAGTGAGAGTAGCCTCACAATACATGGGTAACAAAAACCGTACACATATATCAAGCTTGCGCAAGAAGATGACTACATAAACTGTTACAATTCTTCTTGATTAGGTAGTTGGTAAACTGTTTCAGAACTACGGCCATTTCTCAAATAGAGTGGAACGCTATAGGAAACCTGATCAGCATCTCATATGATTGTACTGCAAGTTTAACGTGTGCTTGTTTCATGTCTTCTAACATTTTCATGCCTGTAATGTCTTTGCTATATCGCAAAATCAGCATATGAATCATAGAGCAGCTTGTGTTGAGGATACTGTATTTGTTCCTATCGATGTTGCCACCTATCGAGAAAGGAAATCATGGAACAGAGTTTCCGGGGGCAACCAGCTTCCACGTTGGACGTTAGAAATAAAGATACTAAAACGTATCTGCATCTGTTTAATCCTTTTGTGAGCACCACAATGCGTTTCTACGTTCCCACATATTTTTCCACGTTCTCAAACAATAAGTGTGATTACTGGAGAGCTTCATCATATATCACCTCCACGCCGCCGGCGAACAGCTTCTCCATGGCTTCCTTTACACCTTGTGCCTCACTCTGATTCAGCTCCAGAGTGTTGAGGGCTTCCTCTCCGAATTCCCTTATCAGCGTGGTCGATATAAGCTCACCGGGGTCAACCATGCCCTGTGACAGAACACACATGGTGCTTTCACACGTACACGCCTTTCGCATATATACCCCTAACATTTTACTTACTTTTCAACTTTTAAGTTATTCTACTATAAAATTATCTCATCGGCGATGCAGAAATCACGAAATTAAATTCCGCGACAGCAGGAATTCTATCGAGTGGCGTAACTCCGCAACAGTGCAAGACCTTTATATGTGTAATCAATAATTGTAATAATATGTGTAGGAACACGATCGGTTGGTTACCCCTGGAATGGCCCATTCAAGCGTGTCTCCTCGTTGTACAGAAACAAACTGGAGTATAGGGCTGTTGGTGTCCTTGTCCACCTGTATTTCTCCACCTGCACCCCTTTTCCACCTAAAATCGTAGCAAATTGGACTGTGGAGGGTGGCTATATATAAGGTAACACAATAATATTGATACCATTCTATAAATGTTGACAGGTTCTAATTAATGCGTCTCAAGCTGGAACAGGATTCTACGTTACAAGTTACTAAAATTTTATGTGCTCCACGGTCCTCCCCAGGTATCTCAGAAGACATGTCATTTATGGACAGACGGAGGGGGGGGGGGGGGGGGTCAAGGAGGGGGTTATATTATTTGGCGTCAAATACATGTGTCATAAGCATCCCAAATATACAAGTATACTCGATCAGTTCAGAGGTCGATCTGTGAAAACATAGTATGACTGAGACCGTCTAAAGTAAATACTGATGGAAATTAACGTATGTCGATTAGGCAATTTAGGCATTGTGGAAGATTTATCGGATGTAGTAAATTAGCATCAGCTTTCAAGACATGTTCGTCCTGACATGCGTTAAAGGCGTCGGAAGATCACTGTGCTGTGCACATAGCCTTGGGACAGAGGTGAAAAGGTGGGAAATCTATCGACCACCAACATTCATCAGACGACAAAAATAACACATTATGTTGTATGTACGAACCTTGTCACTATAGGATCTGCAGCATGGTTAGGTCCCCACTTGCCTAAACATCCACGCCCAACTATGCCTGTTCTTCCAACCGGATTTCTACAATGCACAAATCGATAGAATTAAACACAGCTGAAGTATCTTTTCCCATTAAAAAATAATTCGTGTAACAAAAGTGATACATGTAAATGTATATATGCCTTACAATCCACATTCTGTTTGTGCAGGCTGAACACCTAGTGTTAATGGCTATATGTACAATATTGTGTGAATATGCATCTGCTGGCATCAGGTAAAAAGGCTAATCACAAAGTGTCAATACCTTGGCCTGTCATTAACTATCGTGTACTCGCTAAAGTGGCTCCTCCTATTCACATTACATGCTTTGTCCAATGCATTCCAAGCAGGATGGAAGCCACCATCGCTAAATGACAAAAAAACAAAAACAAAAACAAACAAACATGAGAATTGATAATATAATTTCGTGATTTGGTGACTCCTACATCACTGATGATATGGTTTAATTTTATTTATTGCAAACTTATCTGGTCGTATGATGCTGCCAATAAACAAAATTGTTGGGTGCTATATACTGGGAAGTAAGGGACATGGAAGTTAACACTTCCTAGATGACAGACAATTATGAACTTCTTCTAACCCGACACATGAAAAGACTGCACCTATAGTGGGCAGTGACGATTTCGCATGCATTGTCATCATCTTGCTGGACATGCATGCATTCGCATGCATACGTGCACACCTGATATCTGGATCTGCCCATGAGGGGCGGGCAAGTACGCTCTCTGCCGTGTACTCTGCGGGGCTGTATTCGGGGAACGATACGTCCCAGCCGACTTTGTCGTCGGGAACCGAAAAACGACTGGCGTGTGAGTGCGGGTACTGGCCAACACGACAGTTCTTGTGCAACTTCCTCATAACTGTGGCCGACTAAAACGAGAAGAGGCGATATACGAGGTGACACCATCAACATTATTTTCTTGGATGCAGCTTCATCAATACTATAGCCATAGGTTCAAGGATGTATTAGGTAACACCAGTGAATTTTCGCAATGTGCGACATGTGCAAATGTGCAAATGTAGACAGCTATTCTATCCTTGGGCCAATACTTGCATGATTAATTTTACCAAGAGTAGATAATATAACTATAAGTATATAGATTGTTATTATCTACTCTTGGTTTTCCTGTGTCCCTATACTTCATACTATTATATTCATCAGTGAATACAAGCACATTCCAGATGGAAAACTGGTGGTACGTACGTACCTCAATTACGCCCTTCGCTGTCTTGCATGTATTGTGAACTCCTTGGCTAACTATGCCTCCCATGTATCTTGTGCCACCTGCCCTTTCACTCACCTGCGACTAACAGTAAACGAACAGAACGTTTTACTAATGACACACAAACTGGTAATTCACTGACAGACATTCATAGTCATATATACCACTTTGAGCTAAAAGAATTATTGGCAATAACTAACTGTATATATATATAATAATAATATATATATATATATATATATATATATATATAATATATATATATACTGTATAGATATATGCAAAAAAGTTGTTTTTAAACATGGGTCATCACCTGCTCAATGGGCCGTGGTATGACTATGAATGTCTGTAATGACTGAATAATATTGAGATTAGATATATACATAATACAGTGTCACTGCATATGGTTACTGTCAGACGACTCAGTGTTCCCTGAATCCCACCTCCCGGGCGATGGAGACGCCCATGCACAAGCAGTGCTTACGGACTCACCTTACATATATCACACGCAGAAACTACGTGGGCTGGCTGCCAATATAATCCCGTAACAATAAATATAATATAATGATATATGACGTGAAGACGAAAACGTGAAAGTGAAGACGAACGCATGCACTATAAAGCCTAAAGTAAAGGCACTGTAGTGTTGTTGTTATTTGTTTTACGCGAGCACAAGTTTACTATTACGGTTACCTGCTTAACACCGCATTAACAATTTTCGCCCGGTAACCGTTAACCGAGAGTTTGTGCTGCGATTTTGAAAGACGGAACTGAGAAGAAAACGGGAGAGAGAGGGGGAAGAGATGGAGATATGAGATCACGAGAGAGAGCGAGAGAGGCGCGAGAGAGAGAGAGAGGGGGAAGAGATGGAGATATGAGATTGCGAGAGAGAGAGGCGTGAGAGAGGGGGAAGAGATGAAGATATGAGATCGCGCGCGCATGAGAGAGAAAAAGAAGAATTGAGGAAAAGGGGGAGAGAAAGAGGGAGAGGGAGAGGGCGACAGAGTGAGGATGGATTGGAGGAAAGGGGGAGGGAGCGAGAGAGAGAGGAAAAAAAACAGGTGGTGCATGGGATCGAGCAACACGATATACAACTACATAAGTATATCGTAAAAGGAAGTTGGTCGATGTACTCAATCGTCAGAAGAAGGGTAAGAAATTGCGTAAATATAAAGCGTGTTTTTTATGTCTCATTTTTAATGATCGAATATATGTTTAAAACGACTTACAATCAACGTCACTCTTCTTGTATTATGCAAATAAAGCGCAAAATTAGGCAAAATATAGAAAACCACTGCTGCACTAAAAATATACTGCTTATATATAATATCAGAAGTGAATAATAATCTATTAATCTAAGAGTGAATCTATTATTATTTACCCCTGATAATATGCAACTTAATTATTATTAATATTAATTTAACAAAGTTGAGCCAATACCATGAGCAACTTTGACACAGTGACCAGCAAACAAATTTCAAGTTGCTTACCATGTTTGCGACTAATCAGAGACTAGAAAGATTGAAATTAGCAAATTTCCAAAATATTGCAATCACACGCTCTGAAATGCCTCGTCCTGTTACTAGGTAATAATTTAGTAATTTTTAATCATAACAACTAATAGTGCAAACTCTCAGATATTACTATTCATTTGCCATATATGTAATATCTTGCTGGGAATCAGCCTCAGTGTTGGCGATGTTATATTTCCAACACCAGGTAGCAACAACTGAATTCACATGTTTTCCACAAATATATACATGTATGCTAAAACCTCGGTCACAAAGACTAAAACTGTGGAATGAAATGATTAACGTACTGATGCTAAATATATTTCTTTGATAAAGCACTTCCCTAGGTATTATGTTGGTAAACACAGCCTTACTGAAAGGCCTCACATATATGTACACTCCCACACTTTTATCGCAATTAAACGACAATGACTGGCAATAGACAATTTTAGTCAAAAGTACTGTACTACGAATATGGATTGAGTTACATAACAGCAGGGGTGAATAACGACAGATATCTGTCATTATTTACCCACTGAGTATATATCAACAGTGATATGAATGAAGTAGTCTGAACTCAGTAGTCTGAACAGTGCTATATCACGAACTTTTGTTACAGACGCACACGCAATTGTCACCACCGTTCTGCTAGATGGCTAGTTTTGAAGCGACAGAGATTCCTGTATAGTTATTAACATTGCCAGAGTTCACAACAGCCTAACCGCCGCCACCGCCAGTGTCAAACTCTCCGATCCCCAAACTCTGCTGATACTGATTCGCGTGGCTGTGGCCGGCACCCCCGCGCTCCTGAACGTGATGCTGATGATGGCCGTGACCGTGATGTTGACGATGATCCGGCGACTCGGGCGGCGGAGCGTCGAATCAGACGTACGTCGCGGCGGACAGCGCGCGCCGGACAGCCTCCGCCTTGCAGCGGCACGCCCAAACCAAACCTACAGCGCGGTGGCGGCGCCACGCCGTCTTCGTCCAAGGCCCGGCAAAAAGCCAGGGAGGGGCAGCAGCCCGCCCGACCACGGCCGGCCCCGCGAAACCCACGCCCCCCGCTCCAGGTCAGTCCCCCAATTGCAACCCACCCTGAGCTATATGGGTGGAGCCCCCCCCCGGACGAGGCCCGAGGGCGGCTCCGAAGAGCTCGTGCGCGACGGACCACTGTTCGTCACGCATCGTCCGGCTAACGCGCACGCCGCAGCAGTGGCAGGTGATCTCAGCAGCGTCCGCCGAGCGACACCGTCCAGAAGTGCTCGTTGCGAAACTCGAGAACGCCGTCCAGCGTCGCCGCCCCCGCAGCGCCTTGTCCAACTGCCCGACGACGTGCGGTGGCGCCGTCTGCAGAGGAGATTCGCGCGCGAACCCGCCATCCACGCGCCATCGTCCCGAAGGTCATCGCCGCGACGACGATTGCCGCGATGGAGTCGGCGGCGAAGTACGCGTAGCGTCGACGATCGCCGCGGCGACGACGACGACGACGAACGCGGCGGTCGCGAAGAGCGCGTAAGAACGGCGTCGACGCGGGGAGGAGCGCGCGGCTGAGCCCCGGCACGACGCGGCAGACGCCGTGGCTCACGCCCGACGCGTGCTCCTGCAGCCAGCTCGAGCTGGCCGCGTGCGCCACGTGGTCGAGCGCGGCGCCGCCGCACCCGTAGATGGCCGACGGCTCGCGCGCGAGCGCGACTGGCGCCGGCGGCGGGACGCGGGCCGGCGTCGGACACTCGCTGCGAGAGCAGACGCTCCACGCTCTCCTTGACGATAAGAGCAGACGCCGAGCTGCGCAAGAACGGTCGGTCGCGAACACCGCTAGCACCTCCAGACGCTCGTACCCGAAGCAGAAGACGGAGGAGGGCCCCTGCTGCTCGACCCACGCGCTGAGAAGGCAGGTCGCGAGCAGAGAAGGTCGAAGACGACGAGATAGGTGTAGGCGGCGAGCGCCTGCTGTTCGTCTGCTGGCAGAGCGTGACGAGCGCCGCCGTGGCGACGACGACGGCCGCGGCGACGGCAACGACACGGCGCGCCTCCCGCACGCGCAGGACGACGGTCAGCTCGCGGAGGATCCCCATGACGACAGTGGTGGAGGTCCACCGACTCTGAAATGACGAGAAGCGGACGGGATGCTCGCAGATTTTCGTCGACGCAGATCGCAATTTCGTGTCGAGTGAAAAACGTGTATGCAGGAATGCACCCTATGTTTATCTACTTTTTCTGATTGCTACTCACTGTTAAAATAATGCTTGAATAGGTTACACGCTCGAATAGTTATACTATACGTAGACAGAACTAAGACCAGAGCGAACTCAAAAAGACGAAGACTGAACACTGTCACTGACACTATAGAGTATAGTATAGAGTACAGTCTTTACTTCTCCGTGACAGTCTACACTGAACAGAACGGTGAACCGAACAACCCACTTAACAGTTAATTAAACTTTGAGTTAGGCTCATAGGTCTATGTCCCCAGGGTACTGCCGGAACGTACCCTGGTAACTATCTGATATGGTTAGGGTTAGGGAGTAGGCGTAGGCGACTCCCTAGACTCGTTAGTGGAGTAGGCGAGGTACGGTCTGGCATATTAGATAGTACCAGCAGCGCATATAAATCACGTTGATTTATATGCTCTGGTACCAGGGTACGTTCCGGCAGTACCCTGGGGATATAGACCCTCTCAGCTTTAGTTAGTTTTACCAGAAGCGGATTCAAACCGTATTTGCCGCATTGGGAAATACGGTCTAGATTTCAAAGTGCCCTTCGAAATTTTGCGCTCACTGTGGGCTGGTGTGCCATTTTTGGGCGATGTGCCCTTTAAATCTGGAAAAATACTGTCTAGCCTCAGCCCTGGAACCGGCCTTGCTTTAGTGCTTACACTTACAGTTAATTAAACGTTGAGTTAGTCTTACACTTACTCCCTGTACATACTTAGTACTGTTGTTACTTAGTTGTGTTACACTTACAGTGTCACTGGCATTATCTACAATTCAGGATGGCTGGCAAACCACACGTGTCACAGGCACTTGAAGCGTTTCAATAAAATATAATGCTAAATAAATACGAAATCTAATACTAGTACTACAAAATTCTTAATGTTCTATATCTCTCTTTCACCTATTATTGCCGACAGTTTCCTGTAAATTCCGTGTAAATGCTCTATGCACACACACTACCCGGCCGCCATTGCCGGAGGAATGGAATAGGAAAGCGCTCGACTCAAATCCGCTCGACGCTCGATGGATTTCACACGATTACAACACAAAGACACAACCATTCTACTCCATCTTTGTTTCAATTCAACAGCGATGTTACTTGTTAGAAATACAGACTGTCTCTGTTCGTAACCGACCTCTGTCACGCGAAATCACAAAAACACTGGCGCGAAATTCGAGCGTTCGCATACGTTGCCGCAGTCAATGTAAATGTCTGCAAGTACATGTATAGGCGGCGCATTGCATTTTGGGAAACTACCACGCTGTTTTCCACCTCCCGTACGAGCCTCGCCATTGGAGCGTTGCAAAAACGTTGCAGCATTGCGGCACAAGAATGACGTCACGAATACCGCCGCTAGGTGTTTCCTGATTCCGGCAGACATTTACATTGACTGCGCAACGTTAGCGAACGCTCGAATTTCGCCAATGTTTTTGTGATTTCGCGTGACAGAGCTCGGTTTCGAACAGAGACAGTCTGTATTTCTAACAAGTGAACACTGCTGTTGAAATGAAACAAAGATGGAGTAGAATGGTTGTGTCTTTGCGTTGTAATCGTGTGAAATCCATCGAGCATCGAGCGATTTGAGTCGAGCGCTTTCCTACCTGCTATATATTTAACTGTCACTGTGCACCGTCGGCAATGGCGGCCGGGTAGTGTGTGTGCATAAAGCATTTACACAGAATTTACAGGAAACTGTCGGCAATAATAGGTGAAAGAGAGTATAGAAACATTAAGAATTTGTAGTACTAGTATTATATTTCGTATTTATTTAGCATTATATTTTATTGAAACGCTTCAAGTGCCTGTGACCACAGGCACTTGGAACGTCTCAATAAAACAAGTGCCCATAGCGACAGCGCTCATCTAACGTCTACTGGCGTGACTCTGTGGTGGAGTGGAGGGATTCTAGTAAACCCTGTTAGTCCAAAGTTGTTTCACATACACGCCGAAACAGTGGAATGCACAGGGATGGTATCAGGAACCTTCTCAAAAGAATGTTCGTTGGTCGTTATGAAAAGTTGCCACGAGATGGCGCGTACGTTTAAGTGTCTTCAGATTAAAGATGGAAGCTCCCATCATTCGTAGTAGCAACAACTATTGCAAGACAGAATAGGTAAGCACTCATCCATTTACCTACGCAAGCCTACAGGCTGCAAATTGCAATAGAGAGCTGCCACCTGCAACCAATTAACGCAGGCAAAAACTGCCCCAACACATGCACTGGCAGCAGCCACTGGCAGCTGGCATACGTTACATGTAACATATCTGACAGTACAGAATGACATAGAAATTATACGATTTAAGGAACACACCCTTCTTTAACCAAATTTAGCTTTTGAAATTTCACTGTGACATTGTAGCCTCATACATCCAGGCATGTATAGATTCTACTAGCAAAACCCGGCAGTCAAATTCTTTCTAACAGACAGTCACAACAAATCCAAGTTTAACCCTCCTCTAGGGTCAAAAGGTTATCTGACACTTACTCTTCGCCATTAGACGCCAAGGGACATTTCATGTCCTTTCAATAAAGCCATAAAAATGCTGAGTCACGCTCGAAACAAAAAGTTTTTCAACTCGCTCCCGTCAGACCATGTCCTCAGAAAATGTCTAAAATCTGCCCTGTGCCCACTGACTTTGACCTGTGACCTCTCAATTTCGGCACCAGAGTGATGGGCGTTTTCCTACATGAGCATACACCGACTATCAACGGAGCCTCAGGTCGAGGCCGTTTAGATTTGTGCCGAATTCGCATTTCCTCCCTATACCTTAAGTTAAGGAGTGAATGTTCCCCCTTCTTTTACACCTCTTGACCTTTGACCTTTGACCCCCAGCTTCGACATCCCAACCTCGTTTTCGGATTACCCCACCCCCACGTCCCGATATCGTGACCGTACGTCGAGCGGTTAAGATTTTGTGCCCAACTGTTGACGGAGCGGACAGTCGGACGCTCGGACGCTGGACGCACGCGACGCACCGGACGGACGATCAAGCGATTCTACAAGCTGCATCTGACTATGTCAGATGAGCTAAAAATTAATGGTAAATAAACACGAAATGTAGGACCAAAGTCTTAATGTTTCTCTACTCTATTTTGCCTATAATCACCTGTAATGCCGGTCATCTATCGCTGCAACACATGTCTGCGGCCACCAAAACAACATGAATAAGAGAGCAGGTAGGAAAGCGTGATCACGAAATTCGTTCGACGCTCGCTTCATTTCACACGATCACAGAACGAAAACACATCCAACAGCTCCCATCTTGGTATCTATGAGTACATAAATGTTCACTTGTTCGAATTATAACTCTGGCCTTTGTTCATACCTACTCCCGCCAGAGATATCTCGTGAAATCCTGCAGGAAATGTTCTCTCCGTAAAAATGTAAAGAGGACGTATCATCGGAAAATCCCTAATGGCGCTACTTTCGATCGATCGCTGTAGTCGTGTGTGTGTGACGTCATGCCCGTGCACATTGTGCTTGGCTTGGCGGGCCTCGAAATGGAGCTCGGAGGCCGGCAGCAGCTCATCCCGGCATGCAATGCGCCCCATTACTCGTGTATAAACAGACATCTCATCCTCTTTACATTTTCACAAAGAGAACATTTCCTGCAGGATTTCACGAGATATCTCTGGCGGGAGTAGGTAAGAACAAAAGCCAAGGTTATAATTCGAACAAGTGAACATTTATGTAGACATAGATACCAAGATGGGAGCTGTTGGATGTGTTTTCGTTCTGTGATCGTGTGAAATGAAGCGAGCGTCGAACAAATTTTTCAACCCCGCTTTCCTACCTGCTCTCTTATTCATGTTGTTTGTGCACGCAGCACAGCGCGGGCGTGTGGTGTACTTGTGTGTTGCAGATGAGCATTTGACCGGCATTTACAGGTGATTATAGGCGAAATGGAGTAGAGAAACATTAAAATTAAGACTTTGGTAGCCTACATTTCGTGTTTATTTACCATTAATTTTTTTTATTGAGACGTTCCAAGTGCCTGTGCCTGTGGCTGTGCCTGTGGCTGTGCCTGTGACTGCATTGCTCTTTCACAATCACTCATAACCCGACCAGGCTGAGGTTGAAAATTGAGGTTTGATGTATTAATTAGACCGGATACAGGCCCTTGGGCCTATTCCTGTAAACCGCTATTCTATTCAATTCTATTCTAAATCACTCAGTGAATCACACCTCCGTGACCTCGGTCCAGTGCTCTCACTTGTGCCTATGTAAAATTCCTCAACTGTTCGGCTGTAATTCATTGAGATGCATAAAAATTGTTTAAAGTGATCCCGTAATAGATTACTATTATCTAACAATATATTATTACTATTAATATCATTTACTCAATTACTGCTATTATCCTCACCTCAGCTGTTACAAACACCGTGGATGACTGACGACGATTTCAAGGGATATGACGTCACATTTCCCAAAATGCACCGAGTTGGCAACAACAACAACTTCCGTATATGGTTTTGTTTTGTCAGGAAATTTTTCGAAAATTATTCGAGAATTTCCGTAATATTGACAAGTTTGCGACGTGCCTAACATTTCTTGTAAGGGAATATTGTGCAAGAATTCATATAGAATCATTATTACTGGGTATGTTTATTCTAAGTCTTGCTAGAATTTAGAGATTGCACGAAATATAAATTTGCTATCAGCGAAACGTTTAACGAACCCTGGGAAAATGTAGACCAAAAATTGCGCCCAATCGCGGCTTTAACGATCTATCCATTATCGATCTATTAATTTCTATAGCAAAATATCATTTAATACATATACTTTCGGAATCTTGGTATTTTGAGGGCGGTGGGGTGTGCAGTGTGTGCTTTTGATAGTATCAGATAAAAATTCAAATTGTCCATCATTAAATTATGTCACTGTATTGTATTGACACTATATATGTCACTAATATTAATAATACTACCAACTCTACTTTAGATACAGAAAATGTCCTACTTCCACAGTAGTTAATCTCATGAAACTAACTGGAAAGAATTTCCCTCTAATCACCTTTCAAATGGCAAACGATGACCTTACCAACTGTATTTCCTGTTTGCCAGCATAGGGACTGCAATGGAACATTTTTTAATAAAATTTCTGCTTAAATCAGTTTGGTTTATTTCACAGATTGGATGTGTGGTTTTGAAACAACTGCAGACATTAAAGCAGCCCATGCATCATATGACAATGAGGATATGTGATTTTTGTGAGATTTTCTACAATTTCAATGGCAACAGCCATTGAACCTTTAGGAAAAGTCATGGCGATGCCGGTAAAATTGGAAGAACAACACGAGATCGTGACAAAATACGAATCCGAAGATGAGGCGCAGTTGCTTATTGCAAAAAATGAAGAAGAAATCGCCACGCGGTACGGCGAAGTTGCCGAGGAATCCGAATACGAGAATCTTAACGGCGTTACGTCGTTGTTCACCATACAGCTCGATCACAGCTACTGCACAACCCATCTCGCTCCGAAAGCCATTAAGCATCCAAAGTTGAGATCGTGTAACATCTGCGGCATCTCCTTCATGGAGACTAATTACCGACAGTCGTTAGCGAAGCATCTAATCGACTGCCACGCAGAGGAAGGCAAGGGCCAATGCGACATTTGCGGGCATCGATGCGAGAACTCGAAGAACAACTACTCGGCTGCGATCATCAAACACAGAGAAAAGCACTTCGCAAACCAAGGCCAGACGCAAAGCAGAAACTCGACGGGTCCGGGTAAACGAGCGAAGAGACTGTCCAAGACGGTAGACGCCAAGCAGTCTAGCGGGCCGACGACGATAGATGGCGTCACTGTCTCCGAGTCGGACGTCGTCGGTGAGGAATTCGTGGACGGCGGGGAACCGGCAGAAGCAAAGAAGACACGAAAGGAGAAACCGGTGATGGGGACATGCAAGAATTGCGGCAAGGGATTCAAATCGGAGGCGTGGCTGCAGCAGCACCTGCGGAAGCGTATCTGCTACGCGACGAAGCTCAAAGTCGAGGAGGAGACAAGCGAAGAGGAGAGCCTCAAATGCGAGCAGTGCAAGAAGGACTTTGTCAGCGAGGCGGCGCTGAAGCTGCACCGACGGCGCGACCACCGCGCCGGCGACAGATTCGAGTGTCCGACATGCCTTGCGACTTTTCCCACCTCCGCGAGCGTACAGCGGCACAAGAAGTCGTGCGTGCGTCCTCCGGCCAAGGGCCGCAAGCCGAAAGCAAAGACGACCAAGGCGGCGGCGGCGGCAGTGAAGGTGGAGGCGTCAGCGAACACTTGTGAGACTTGCTCGCGTCCGTTCCCCACCTCTCACGGCATGTCGCGGCACCAGGCGCTCATGCGCCACGGCAAGTATGCGAAAAAGGCGCTGGCGACGGCCGCCGCCGCGCCGAAACTCAATCGCAACTACAAGATGTTTGCGTGCGATACGTGTCCACGCGAGTTCCTGTCGCGGCGTGGCCTCTCCCATCACCGCATCAGCGAGCACCCGAAAGACCGGCTTGCCTGCGACTCGTGTGACGCAACCTTCCTCATGCCCGGCCGCCTCGAGGGGCACCGGAACAAATTCCACGCCGCCGCCACCGCGCCGGCGTCGTCGTCGTCGTCGCGTTGCGACGTCTGCAAGAAGACATTCCCGAAGCCGGCCGATCTCGCGCGGCACGCGGAGGACGTGCACGTCACGTGTGGCGTCTGCAAGCAGGCGTTCGCGACGATGCGTCAGCTGACGAAGCACGGGTCCGCGGCGCACAAGGAGAAGGATCTCGGCGTGCCGGAGACGAGGAAGCGATTCGCGACGCCCGCGGCCGGTCCCGCGATGAAGCCGTTGCCGCGGAAACCCGCCGCGCCGCAGCCCGACAAGAGTCCTGTCGTCGCGGCGAGGACGTCGACGAGAGCGAAGGTGATACCTGCCAAAGCGCGGGCGGTGTCGACGCGAGCGGGTCGGTCGAGAGCGCGAAAGTAGAGAACGGGGTGCAGCGTTACTCACGACGATTCCGCGGGTAGAGCGATCGTTGATGACGACCACGAGGAGGTAACGTTCGTAGCAATTTGATTCGTTCTTACTCAGGGAAAATAGGTGTTTTTAACCTGACTGTCGAGCGGGGGGGTATCGCATGCACGCCCATTGCTTTGCTGAGGCGGGGTCTGTTATGGTTTCGTAGTTTAACTTTGGGACGGTTTCCCACGGTACAAACTTTCTCGGTTTATTAGTGTTCTCCCAGTCTGAAAACGTTACGTAGAGAGACAACACTGAATATGGTAAGGATCATCATAGCTGTATTCAAAATTCTGACGATAAATTTGCGTCGCCATTACTAGTAGTTTGAAGTAAAATATTTAGGCTGTGGGGACAGTTGACTAAATATTGTTTTGAAAGTACTAGGTCTATGAGCAAAAGTATTAGGTGAGATAATCTGATAGGCAGCCATAGGCTAGATATCGATTACACAGCACACACGTCGAAGTACGCAGTTGAAGTGTCTATGCACCGGCTTCTATGAAACCCTAGTATATATATATATATATATTTGTACATAGATACATGTATGCGGGTGAAACACAAACGTAAGAGTGCTACGTTTAATGTGGCTGTCCAATCGTAAGTAAACCACATTAGCACCCTCATCTCATGTAGTGTCTGGTAAGATTGCATCGGAAAAATTCCCTGTCGAACTGAAGCACGAGGAACACAATGTCAGAATACAGGATTGCAGATGAAAGAAGATGACCAGTAGTATATTGCAGTGAGTAAGCATAGAAGTCGGATGTAGGTGGTATGTGGCTGTTTATTAATTAGAGATGTAATTCCCACCTTCCATTGATGAAACTTTGAGCAGCTTGTATGCAATGCAGTTTTTCTGTATATGATTGTAGATGATCCAGTATAACGATGCAACCTTTGAGGCTGCATTTATCGAGTTCTTATATAATGGCTTGTGATTACCATTTCAGATTGCATTATCGATACACTGGCTTTAATGAAATTGGTTACATTTGGTCATAAATTAACATAAGCCTAAGGCCAAAACAAAATATATGTGTGGTTACCGTTACATGCCGAAAAAAAATAGGGTACCGTAGGTAGGTAGGGAAAACATATTTTCTTGAAATATTTTATTTACGAATCATGTCCGAAGGATGTGCGTTGTGCCTTTTGAAGCAGGAACTGTCCAATTCATATTTTTATTTATTTATTTAAAAAAAAAAATTTTTTGATTTTAAAGAAAATTGACAATTAAATGTTTAGGGTCGGTCGGGAAACCGTAACCACACCTATATTTTGTTTTGGCCTAAGGTGACGACGATTCATTCATGGCAATAGCGTAGTGTGCCAATTTTCCGTGCTTCTTTAGAAGATTTTCTCTTCAACCATATATTTTATCTTTCATCATGCATTTAGAAGTTATTTTCAGCACAAAAAATTGATACGATGCCAAAAGTATCCTCTTGTGAGTTTATGATTTCTCTAGACTGTGAACATGGAGATCTAAGTGTTATAGTACAAGAGTAACCTTAGTGGTAGATATGTTTACAAGCGACAACCGTGTGTGGCAACCTAAAGACGATCGTCTCACGTAAACACACTGTCAGTGTCGGCTGAGAAGCACATATATTATGGTTATGGCTTTTTGTTAGCAGCCGACCATCTTCTGTAGATGATCGTCTTCGTCAATAACTTCAAAGTGTGGAAAATCTTGGCCACTTACGCTTACTGTCTGTCCTAACTGCTACATATTTGGCCATGCTGTGTTCCTATAGATCTATATAACAGATCTGTGTATATACACTACTACTGTAATAGTGCCCTATCTGTATAACAGTACATTCTTAAGATAGTTTTTATGTTAGTAAAGAATCCGTAATGTGTATGTGTCTGTATATACTTATCCATATATATATATATATATATATTCCCATATCAAGAGGAAAATTGTTCATCAAAGCAATGTAAACAATAATTATTTAATAAACATTTAGTATAATTTCACAAACCGCTGATAACCATCTTTATCTTCTTGCTTCCCAGAATTTTTTTCTTGACTATGAGTTTATCGTTGAAGCTTCTCTGCAGATAGATTGTGTCAGGTTCCGTCACTCCCGACACAACTGCCTGCGTGGAAAGCAAGTATTATAATTAAGATAAAGCATACATTGGGATATTATTAAAGTTATGAGATTATAGCCTACATTTGACTTTTACATTAGGCCCAAATTAATATAACAGTAAATATTGTTTGCGCTCCTAGGACGACTGCAGGCCTTGTTTACTTATGAAATAACTAATTACCTAAATAAATAAATAGATGAATAAAAAATATCCGTTGCCTCTCCTATCCCGTATGATACGTTGATGGTCATGATTCCAGGGTTACCAGTCACCGGATCTCTTGTAAAGAGCACACCGGCAACGTCTGCCTCTACCATCTCTTGTATGCAGACGCCGACATCTGCGGCTACAATCTGGCCGTGATTCCTGCAAAACAATGCACATGTAGTGATTCTTGCAATACAACACAAAATAAATTAGAGAAAGCAGCAACTTAGACAAGTGCATTAGGCGCCTGCGCAAACTCTGTATCTGGATCCGTACATAGTAGACGTGGCATTTGACGTTATTAGTGTACAGATTGGCGGCGCTTATTATGGTGATTCAGATGCACATTACATGCACATTACATTGCCAAATAGTAGATAAATATGATGCGTGCGCATGTTACATATACCGCAAATACATAATAGCAGGCTACATATAGGCACAGGTTATACCTTCTGTACTCAATAGCCTGTTGTGTGAAAGATGATGCCCAACATTTTGCGATACAATTGCATATCTGTAAGGATAAAATTATTATTTAAAGCATATCTTTAAATCCATATTGTTATTAAGATACATGTTATTATATAGCATAATACTGACAATAGTAAAATATAATGACATTATATTGAAGTCGACTGCCTGAGAGGTTTCTTTGTTTCTTATGTATGACATTTGCATTACAAGAATCCAAATCGGTGCGTGTTTAGTTCAAACCTCTTTAATGCCAATGACACCGAGAAAAGACTCCATCTGTCCAGCGAATGACGCTTCCCCGCCATCCTCTCCTGTAAAACATCACTAATGATTATCATTGAAATCTTACCGTCGTATTATACGTTTGAGTATGTAATACTGATTGCGCAGAGTTTAATCCTAATTGAGACCACATTCCCAACACTCTCAGCGATGACCTTTACTAAAATATCTTAATGTTTCATAGTTTGGAAGTGATGCCCGAGTTATACAGCCTCGTATTGCGACAATCTTTACACATCATGATGTTTATGGACATGACGCATTCACGGTTTTTATTCCGTCAAATTTAAACATCTAAAATATAAAATTAATGTTTGCTAGTAATCTTTATATTACCTCTATCAAAATTTATTATACGATATTACCACAAATATGTTTGATATAATATAGACCCGATGAATGTTTGATGTCATACCATTCCGGTGGCATACAATATTGATAAAAGAACCTACCAACAGCAGATGATCGTACAGCAAATGTCTTCTCGTTCCATTCCTCGCCAAACAGCTCTGACAGTTGTTTCAACACTGCCCGTTCCAACTCCGGAGTCAGCTGAGTGTTGTTAAAGCTTTCTACAGTAGCCTTGGATATCTCGTGAATATCGCCCCCCTTTCTTTTACTGGAAAATTGTTAACGGCGCGTTATGTAAAATGTATCAACACAGATAACGGACGATGGAAGTGGTAAAGGATATGTTGCGTATGTTACCAAATAGCATTCAATATTTTACATAATTTAACTGTTATAGGGTGTTATATTTTATTTGTTATAGGGTAACTGATATCATGAATAAATAATCTCAAATAATATTAATTTGGAATTATTTATTCCTAATAATATTACATACTATGCAATATTTTCCAGTTCTACGATGCTGTCACGCAGATGTTTGTTTTCGTTCAGGTGACGTCTGTACGCGGCCACCGTCAGGCAGAACCCCCTCGGAACCATGAACTGCAGATATATGATTCCTTATCATGAACTAATGTAGAGAGATAGCATGAAGTACTACTCAACTATGGACCCTAGCTGCTATTATAGGGTTATTTACTTGCTTTGCCGCCTTTGTACAAACTGGTACCGTCTGATTCTACGCGGAACTCGCTGGTGTACTGAATAAGGAACGTTATATATAGTTAGTGCTAATGTTAGAGTTAGTATAGTGTTAGAGTTTGGGTTAGGCTTAGGGTTAGGGTCAGGGTTAGGGTTAAGGCTAGGACAACATGTATATGTGTAAACATGCTACGAAAAGCTTCCCTCATGCACCTTGCCATCTAGTTGAGTCAGAAGAGCCAACTGCGTTCCCTTACCACCAGCCAGCTGAGATGAAGCGCAGGCAGGTTTAGTGAATTCCAGTGTCAGATCGCAATTGTTGTTTGTGCCGATCGCTTAGAAACATAAAGCTTCTTTATCAAAAAAATACGTATGACACATACAAAATCAGTAATTCTTAAAACATTGCGCTATATAGTTGTCTTTTTTCTTCTTTCGGTTTTTAACACTGAATGTTGCATATGACGGCTGGCGCTCCTGTGTGCGTATATTCCACGCCTACCAACCAGTATTATTTAAAATCATAACATAAGGAACTATGATACCTGGTTCCTTCAGCAACGGAACTGACATTTGAAGCGGTACTGGGCAAAGTTCATTGTGCCTGAAAGGTAGGATAAACATGATCACATCGGAGGACAAACAGTAGTTAACGTAATGGGAACATTTGCGTATATAGAGTTCTACTACCAGACATGATAACATCGGAGGACAAACAGTAGTTGACGGAATGGGAACATTTGCGTATATAGAGTCCTACTACCAGACATGATAACATCGGAGGACTTATATATATTCCCATATCATATCGGTTACCATATTTGTTGCATCAAGAGCTAATTGACTATAGAGTGGGCAGTGGTAAGATGTGGAAAATATGTAGCTGTATCAGTCACATTTCATCACTTTACCCTTGTCATTTAAGCAATTCCAACTTGAACAATTAATAACAATTACTTGTCCCCACGACGTTTCTAAGTGTGGCGTTGTAGTTATTGTATGCTTGTCAATTTTTAGTGTTCAATCCTTTGCAATTTCAGTGCTACTTATCTTTCCGATGTAGCAAGAAGCCGTTTGGTTTTATATCAGCGCATGTAAAGTTGTCATGGCAGTATATGACGATCTACTCGTAAATGCTAGCTGTCCAAGATAGATGTACATTCGCCTAGTGCGTGAAGAATGGAATTCATCTATCTGTTGGCAATAAAGGATAGAAATATGTTCTTACATGAAGCTCTACGAGATGAAAAAGATCCATTGACTTGAGAATGCAATCGCTGGAAAATCGCAATTCGACAAGAATGTACAAACCGATAATTCCACTTTAGATTCGTCGTAGAGACAAGTGGTTTTTCGTAATTTGTCGAGATATTAATTTACTCGTAATTAATCAGTTGTTAGTGAATTGTCTGTCAAAGCTACTGAACATTGCTTTTTATTATATTGTTGTATGCTCTTATCTCGTTCATTAGCTCTAGGCTATATATATATCGTATGAGCTGCATTGTAAAAAGATCACCTTGCTGTAATCGCGTATGTAAACAATCTCAATGTGGATGGTCGTTGTTGTTTCCAATTGCCATGGCAACCTTTTTTGTAGGTTGCATTATCTACCTTAGAAGTGTCATAATACACTTGGCAGTCATTGCATCCACACTGTTGTTTGACACAATGTGTCCTCACTCATCTCACGTTATGAATTTCTATTTAATGTGGACGCATATTGTATTATGATAATGATAATGACAGTTATTTTCATATAAAGGTATGAATGTAGGAATCGTCACGAATACAATCTCATCAATGCAGTTGGTAATATCTAGGAGTGAGATTTGTAAACGAGATGATCTGTCGTCTGTGGCTGTATTAGTAATTGCGCTCTTCGGCAAAAATGCGTAAAACTTGAAAATGCAATATTTAGAAAAGGTTTCTTGTTAGTACGTAATAAGATAAAATATTGTTTACATGAGTAGAATGATATCAAAGTGATGTGCAATGAGTGTGCCGTTTGTACAATTAGCTAATTTTAATATGGGAACTTATAATTGGGAAACTTATAACCAGCAAAGTAGGAAATGGACAGCCATTTTGTTAAATTGTGTATCGATGTTGTGTAGTGGTCTGTAATATTTTTGTAGAATTTATTATGAATTTTTACTTTGTTGATCGAGTGATAGACTCTCTCGAATATTTATGTGCCCTAACGGTAGTCCATGTGAGTACAGCGCGCGTTCTTTTTTTAGTCCTATTGCAGGAGGTTACGTTTAATAGTTGTGTATTTACATGTATTATTGTTTTACCATTGCATTGTGTATGTAGTAAGGTCACTGTCTCGTCTTTAGATTTGTTGATGTATTTGCAAAGTACTCCATCTTCATCTGACATAAAAAGGTTTATAAGGTGTTAAATTTCGACAATTTTACCTTATGAACGCATCTAAAACAGTATACCATTTTTACACTGCATAAAGATGGTGTAACGTGCCCATAAGGTCATTCAGTCTTCAGATAATGTTAAATGGCATGTAAAAGTTTTCCAGTTGCCGTGCCACATGATCACATAGTTGTATGAAGATCAGTTAGTTTGTGTAGGAGATTTGCTTATTCTGTTTACATTGTATTGCAAATGGTGTTCACTTTATTATGCATTCGTGTAATAGTTTTACCTTTGCTTGCAAAAGCGTCGCGTGGCAACGCGATCAATGTGCTGAATTATGTAGTCCGCACAGTTTGCAAAATTTACGACATTTATGTGTGAACGTATTTAGCAGTTGTATTTTGTATTTTTGCTCGAGTTTAATTTCAGTTACAGTCCCGTAAGTTGTTAACAGACTGGCACCAACATCGGCAGCAAGAAGATTGTGACTATGCAGGCGAACTGTTTCCTAATCAGTTATCATTCTACATAATGGGCTGGCAACTTGTATTACTGCAGCCTGCAGTAAGAACAAGCCAAACAGAAGCCAGGGAAGGGCCAGTATAAGTGTGAATGCTCGGCACTATGGATGTTAACCAGACTCGGATCCTAAAGTCAAGCTTGGTGGTCGTACGATGGTAGTTCACTTTCCTATTATGAGCTGGTGATTCCAGAATACGGAACACTCATGTACCATTGATGTTATCAGGAGTATATAATAGAAGATACTCTTCTATTATATACTCCTGATGTTATGCAGAACGTGCTTTATTATATACCATAATAATCTTACAATAAAATATCGGCTGTCAGTCTGTTAATTGTCAACTTTTGGTCATGATAGTGCTGTAGGTTTCTTTCCAATCACAACTGACAGCTACGTCAGAACAAGTAAAAGGTAGGGGAAGGTAAATGTTGGGGTCATGTATCGCACACACACCCTGCTGGACAACTGAGAACTGACCAGAATGCTCGCACCAAATTGTAGGGGGTAACTTGCAAAATCGCTCACTTCTGAGGATAAACAGGAATCAGCCTCAACAATAATCTGCTCTATGTACAGATGAATTTGAAAACAATCTATGTTCAATGCTTCTTTACGGCGCCCCCACTTGGCTGTGATTTCTTTGGCTTCATTTTTTTCTTCTTTTTCAAATTTGTCTTTTTCGATTTCTTTTTCGGTGCACCAGTCTGTATCTTGCTTGCAGCCGATGGACGGTCTACCATATCCGAGACAGCACCTTGCTTTTTACCCTCCTCGTTTCTTTTAAAGGGGGCTTTCTTCTTTTTACCAGTGGAGATGGATTCTCGTTTCGGTGCGTGTTTCTCTAGCTTCCGTCTCACCTTTCTGCGAACACAAGTGTAGCATGCAAGATGATGCAACACACAGCGGACGTTGCGACATACGTTTACACCATCATCATAAGTGACCAATCAATACGGCCAGCTCGCCTCCTGTGTGGACAGTGTCCAGGGCTACATCACCGAGTAATGGGATGCCACGCCCGAGGTATATAAGCGGCAGAGGCGACAAGGAAAAGGGGGAAGCGATATAGACAAGGGGCGAAGAGGCACCTACGTACTGTTGTGCTTATGTATGTCGGAACCAGATATATATTAGAATAAAGCTTCTCTACACAAGTATCACAACAGTAGTTGGTGATGCTCATAGGGTCTATGTCCCCCAGGGTACTGCCGGAACGTACCCTGGTAACTATCTGATATGGTTAGGGTTAGGGAGTAGGCATAGGCGACTCCCTAGACTCGTTAGTGGAGTAGGCGAGGTATGGTCTGGCATATTAGATAGTACCAGGGTACGTTCCGGTATACCGGACCGTACCCAGGGTACGTTCCGGCAGTACACTGGGGGACACAGACCCTCTCAGCGTTAGTGATGAGTGTTCACGGTCACCACCTCTACGATCTTCCTGTCCTATAGTGCTGTTCGTACCTTAGAACAGCATCTTATGTTTACCTGTGTGTTCTCGTATAACGCCATTTTCCTGATGAATCTCTTGTGACGCACTGCCAACGACGGACCACTCAGAGTGGGAGATGCTATACGTACTTGCTCGCCTTGCGTAGTCTCAGTATGTTGCCAGGAATATGATCTAACGTTTACGTAGCCGTTCTCGTATACCGTAATTTTTCCGTTAAACCTCTCGCAATGTACTGCGAATGTTAGAATCTAATCTCCGATTGGGAGAGGTCATACGTACTTGCTTGCCTTGCGTAGTCTCAGTATGTTGCCAGGAATGTAAGCTAGCCTTCACGCATCTGTTCTCGTATACCGTGATTTTCGCAACGTCAAAAAGAATGTGAGAAGAATTTTAATCTCAGATTGGGAGCTGCTATACATACTTGCTCGCCTTGCGCAGTCTCAGCATGTATCCGGGCACGTCACATCCCGTCTGCCTCATCACCGCGGCGATGCTGCGCAGATTAACGAGGTCCTCGTCAGTGAAGAACGTCACAGCCTCCCCGGACCTTCCCGCTCGACCCGTCCTTCCTGTGCAACACGGGACTCCGCCATTACTATCATCGCTGATCGATTGCATCGATCAATCAATCGAATGATCGAATGAATCGATCGAACAACCGAATCGAACGTCGATTAGGTAATTAAGGCATTTCAGAGAAATTTATGGTGATCTTGCAAATTTAAAGGCGTGGGAAGAACATTAGCTTTCCTTTCCTACAAGAATCAATTGCCCACTTCTCCACTTAGATTTCACGAATGAGTACAATCATAAAAATACATTATTTTTACAAGCAATGCCTTGTACGACCTTACCTATTCTATGTATGTAGCTGATTGCACTTGGTGGGAAATCATAGTTGATGACAAGGTTGACTCCTTTGAAGTCCATGCCTCTACCCATCAGCTCAGTGCAAATGAGCATCCAGATTTTTCCCGATCGAAAATCTCGGACTATGTTGTCTCTCTGAAAATAGACGAGCAAGGAATGCCGTCGAAGAAGACGGGTCACGTAAATACAAACAAAGTTGAAGACTAATTCATGATACGCGTGCTACATGAGGCCTCACCTTTATAATATTCACATTATAATCTTAACTGGAATGGTGCACCCAGATTAACATGATACTTAATTTTAACCACAACAATACGGCTGCTACGTTGACTACAGTCACGTGGCTGTGCTGAAAGATTAGTTTAGGTAAGCTATACAGATGCATCACCATGTAACCTGGCATGTGTGATTTCCATAGGTAAAATAAAAGCATTAGATAAGTATTTAACAAACAAAGTTTGAATGACTTATGGAAGCCGTACACTAAGCGGAGTCTACTATACCTGCAACTGTGTCTTGTCTGAGTGAATGACATTGACGTTGATGCCATCGTATGCGAGCTCACTATACAGATCTTGGGCTCGTTCCTTCGATTGCACAAACACGAGGACTGGTGGAGAAAAGCCCTGAAATGTGTGCCAACGAACATGCTTACTAGTAGTCACCTTAACGACAAATTCGTAATGGCTTAGAGACAAATGTATCGTGTATGTACAAAACAAGTGTATATGAAATACTGTATTGTAAAACGATAGTTTAAGCAAAACTTTGCACCTTTTTCACGAGTTCACGCATGGCCACCATTTTGCCAGACTCTGCACCCACATAGAGCAATTCCTGCTTCACAGACATCGTCGCAGAATTTCTAAACACAGCAAAACAACAATTTTCAGTTGATTATGCTCGTGGGTAGCTATGACAACAGTGCTCATGGCACACAATATTAGAAACCGAATTAATGATATTTCTATCCTCTAGGGAATTAATTTAAAAGATCAAAATCTCCTATTAATCGTTAAATGAGTATGATAAACTCTTAAAAACTGCCAACTAGTTAGCAAGCATTATATTACCTACTCTTAATAATTATCTGCTTTAACTTTGTCAACTAACAGTTACTTCACAATACTCCACACTTTGCATTGCTTATAAGGTTACATAAGTTTATTACATAATTCTTTCCTAAAAAATGACTATCCTCGGGTTTATAATCATTAATGTCTAGCGAATATTTTATCATCACACCATACCTGCCACCAACACAGATGGTGACCACATTGTCAAGGTTTAGCTTGCACCATTGTTCCACCTCGTAAGTATAGGTGGCGCTAAACATGGCTCTTCGCACGTGTGACGAGTCACATGCCTTGTAGATCACAGCCAACTGCAAAGTCATATATGTACAGACGTCACATGTAAAACCCAGCATTTCTACAATATCCACTATAAAAGGGCAGCAAAAGCAATTCGATTCCAAGTTTACGTGATCATTTTAGATGAAAACGGTGAAACATAGGACATAATATGCAAAAATACATACGCTAAACACAAATTTTATATGCTGGATAGCTTTTTCCTCTATCCGAAATAGATCCAAAATAAGAAAATGACATGCAAACTTTACAGGTTCATGATGACGACATTCAAGACTACAGCCTGTTGACTTGCAACTCGTGTATAAACCAACGAATCGACTCAATCTTAATGGTCAGTGCTTAGGCATGCTGTCACATCCACGATCAATGCTATGAAGAGTCCATAATACAAAACGTCTATTTGTTTATTTTCTATTATGGACCTTTGATGACATCTAAGATAAGCATATGTTCTACAGTTAAAGATGTCATCACGAAATGACATGTAGAGAGTTTCACCTGGTCCCTGAATCCCTGCTTTCCCGCCTCAAACAATTTGTCACACTCGTCCACAATGAGCCATTCAACGTTCTTCATGCTGACACCAGGTGGCGTTAGCTGCAGCAGGTGAATGAGTCGGTTTGGCGTCGTCACGAGTATGTCGAATTTCTGCGGAGATTTCGGCCCGAACTTCTGCTTAGCGACGTCCGACTTGCCGATCATGCATATGTGAAAGCCTGTGCCAGTCGCAAGCCTCTGGAACTCCCTGTAGGTCTAACCAGAAAGAAAAGAATTAATACCATCATCATTACTGTCAACATCGTAATCCAACTGTATATTTCACCATATATTATACCGATTCATACCGAATAACAGCCATGGATAACTGACATAATGAAACTGAATACTGCCCATCGCCGATTTTTAAGTAACAATTTTTTTGCTACGACCTACGTATACTCACTTGCTTGGCAAGCTCCCTTGTTGGCGAGACCACTACTACTCTGAAGCCCATTCGTCCGGGTTTCTTTAGATGTGTTAGTGCAGGTAGAATGAACGCGGCCGTCTTGCCAGAGCCGGTGGGTGCGCATGCCAACAGTTCTCGTCTCTGTAACATCCCAACAAAAGAAGAACTAGTAGTGATAGGTTGGCGATAGCTTAAGAACTCGATCTGATTTGCTCTGTATGTCTGTTATTACAGCAATGTAATCCCACAGTTACACTAAAATGCTTTGCCTCGTTAGTTTACTGTGCTAGTCAATGCTCTTGATTGGACTGGATCACATTCAAAGAACAGAAGTATGATGAAGGATTCTTTATAAACTAACAAATTTACAAACGAATCATTGTCAAACTTTGAGTTGATAAGAGCAGCTATAGATTCAGACACCGTGTAAAGATTTTTATCAACTTATCTTACATGCATCATGACTGTGACTGCCTGCATCTGGATGGGGGTTGGATCAACGTAGCCTACAGCTACAATATTCTCGACCAGCTGCGGAAGGAGCTGATATTCCGTCTGAAGCTGTGAGAAGGACTCAACTGGCTCTGGCAGGTCAGTTCCCTGAACGTGAATTTTGTGTCTGTTGCGTAGAGCGTTTACCTTCACGAGAAAAACGCGTCGATTACAATACTATATCTCTACTGCTGTGCAGAGAATTGCCATTTACAACAAAATATTTCTAGTAACCACATAAAATAAGGCTGTTACAAAATAACCATTTTTCCATAGATAAGGAAGATACAAGTGTAAAATTTGATATGGCATGACAGCTAATGTGACATGCAAAAAAGCTAAAACTCACTATAAACTTCAACATATTTACAGAGTAGTAACGCACGAAGGGTCGTTGTCGTATAGGGTACTACATATATGTACCTATCTGATATGGTTAGGGTTAGGGTTAGGGTTAGGGAATAGGCGTAGGCGACTCCCTAGACTAGCATTATATTACCCTATACGACAACGACCCCTTCAGCAGTAGTAACAGGTAGTGATTACCAAACTGCAGATTGATAGCAAATTTATTCGCGATCACTATGTAATGGCTACATCACTCTACCTCCTCTCTGTGAATCTGTGTGACCCTGTCCGCGACTCTACGCCCCGACTTTTTCACTCTGCTGCTTCGAGACGACGCCATAGTCGTAGAAGTCATCGCGCCAAGAATGCGCAGCTCCTCCTCATCGTCGTCGCTGCTCCCTTCAGACTCGCATTGCTCCGATAACGATGAGGAAGAGTCACAACTCTCCTCAGCCTCAGCGGTAGCACCTAGGCAGGTTGTGTGTGTGCGTGCGTGCGTGCCTGCGTGCGTGACTGTGTGTGCGTGCCTGCGTGCGTGACTGTGTGTGCGTGCCTGCGTGCGTGCGTGCCTGCGTGCGTGACTGTGTGTGCGGGCGTGCGTGCGTGCCTGCGTGCCTGCCTGCGTGCGTGTCTGCGTGCGTGACTGTGTGTGCGTGCGTGCGTACGTGCGTGCCTGCGTGCGTGACTATATGCATGCGTGCCTGCGTGCGTGACTGTGTGTGCGGGCGTGCGTGCCTGCCTGCGTGCGTTCCGTGCCTGCCCGCGCACCTGTGTGCCTGCGTGCGTACGTGACTGCGTGCGTGCATGTGTGCGTGTGTGCGTGTGTGCATGTGTGCGTGCGTGCGTGTGAGCGTGCCTGCATGCCCGCGTACCTGCGTGCCTGCGTGCGTGCGTGATTGCGTGCGTGCATGCGTGCGTGCATGCGTGCGTGTGTGCGTGACTGCGTGCGTGCATGTGTGCATGTGTGCGTGCGTGCATGTGTGCGTGCATGTGTGCGTGCGTGTGTGCGTATGTGCGTGGGTATGTGAGTGTATCTGTGAGCGCGTCCTTACTCCTTGTATACTTATATATAATATAGCTCATTGTATTGCTTATGTTCTTGTATATACACACACAGGTCCCGATGACGGCATGGGAGATGATGAAGGAAGTGATTGCGATGACGGTGGCACTACTGATCCACCACCAGGTAAGCCGGGGGGAATTAAGGCGTGCGTGCATGTGTGCGCGTGTGTGTGTGCTGCGTGCGTGCGTGCGTGCGTGCATGCGTGCGTGCGTGCGTGACTGCGTGCGTGCGTGCGTGCCTGCGTGCGTGCGTGACTGCATGCGTGCCTGCGTGCGTGACTGTGTGCGTGACTGCATGCGTGCGTGTGTGCGTGCCTGCCTGCGTGCGTTCCGTGCCTGCCCGCGTACCTGCGTGCCTGCGTGCGTACGTGACTGCGTGCGTGTGTGTGCATGTGTGCGTGCGTGCATGTGTGCGTGTGTGCGTGGGTATGTGAGTGTACCTGTGAGCGCGTCCTTACTCCTTGTATACTTATATTGTATACTTATATATATAATATAGCTCATTGTATTGCTTATGCTAGCCGCACACTATCCGATTTTGCACTGTGGACAGCACTAACGCGCCGCACACTATCCGACCCGCTTCCGATCGATCGGGAGGCCACCGCACACTGTCCGACTCAAAGTTGACGCAAACCATGGCACTCTCGTGGCGTTCCAAGCGGATTTAACGTGTACTAATATGTTCTGCAAGGTGACAGTTGAAATATCTTGTCGATCATATGTAGGGGCATTTCTAGCACAAACTGAGAGTGGTCGAGGCACATTTAAATGTGAGGCTCTCTTTCAATGTGAATACGTGACCATACCACAAAATGCAAGGAACGCCTATAGGTAGAGGAGACAAAATACGCAGACATTTTATAGATGAAGGCTAGCATTAACTTCCCACACTCAATTAATGTGCCGTGGTAACATAACACCAAGCCATAAACATGTCAAATGCATTCCACTAAACATATCCTAACCATGGGGTGCGTGCAGGCGTTTGCTGGTGCCGTGTTCATCCACGCCTTGTCGAACGTTTTCCAGGTATTTTCTTTTGCCAGAAACTCCCCCGGGGTTTCTCTGCCCATTATCTCCTTGATGTTGTACCTCTGGGATGACCTGAAACTGTTGTAGTTCAACTCCAGGGAGCGCACGGTCATCCACCTGACTCGGTGCATCCCCACGTTTCTTGATTATCTGGAATTTGTGATAAATGATAATTGCGATTCCTATTAAATCATGATACCAACACCAACACATACATGTCATATTTCACATTTTGGATGTTTTCCACTCTATCCCACGTTCCAACTGCCACTGTGGCTTAGCTGGCACTTACACTGGCACCTGCTTAGCCACAAGTTCCCTTCTCGCTTAACACTACGTTGGCTAGAGGTCCTACGACGTGTAACAGTCGGAGAGCCTGGTCGGTTTAGCACCTGCTTAGCTGTGGCAGTGGCAATGAGGGCTGTAGTACTGCAACAAGTGTCTAGCATGGTACAACTGAGTGTAGTATAGTTACTATTTAGCCACTGGCACTGACACTGACACTGACAGTGACACTGTCCGAAGCACATGCAGGCACTAGTTAACTATGTATTTAAGTGTCAGTGTGCAGCGGCAGCAATGGCGCTTGGCGGCAGCTAGTGTTTGTTGTAGATGAGCATTTGGACAGCATTTACAGGAAATTGTTGGCAATAATACTAGGTGAAAGATGGGGTATGCCTCCTGATCAGGCTCTACAAAAACAACAGAATGACAAACAAATTTAATTCTGTTCATTGTATCAATTAACTGGTCTTCTTTTATGCATGCAACGAAAGTAACGAAATCACATAGATACAAGGAATTGCATCAAATACATCACAGCGAACGAAGACCAAAATCACCGAGATACGTGCTATAGTGGGAAAGCAGCAGTGACTTTCGTTAGTATTTCGTTCCTAGAAATAGCCTTTTTTTAATTTGTGCGGTAATATTCGGCACTAGCGTGCACTAATTTGTATTATGCACACAAGGTATATGCCTTATATGAATGTATAAAAAGCAGAAAAGTGATTTTTGTCTTATTGCGTAATTGTGCCATTCCGTAAAGTAGCGAAGCCAAGGTGACCGGTCCGCCGTTTTTGTGTTGGGCATGCAACTTACTTTCAGGGGCATGGCCACCATGACCACGACAGATGTGCATGGTAAAATCCGATCTACGAAGTTTCACTTTAGCCGCAGCATTCCTCCACAATCCAATCCCTATGCTAACGTACATAAAGTGGCTCTCGCATTGCTGGTAAATTCTGGGACGCACACGAGCGATTTTATTAATGGCGGACTTGAACACGGTCAGCAACTAAACTAACGAGAGATTCACGAATATTCCAGGAAGCTCGGGGCGTGTGTCGTTACGGCGTATTTACGCGTTCGTTTGCGGATGTTTGGCCGCCGGTTTGCTCGGTAAACAATCGAGGTGAACGCGTGCGCACATTATAAACAAAGTAAATAAAAATAGCGCCACTCGTACTCGTCGTTGTCCCTATAGGTGGCGTGATTCACCGACGTCACGCGCGCAGACGGAACTGCAATCCCTGCCAAGTTTCACCCGATCACCTAGGAGACGAGAACACCCAAAATAGTGGAGATTTGATAGAACAAAATTTCGCCCCCACCTGCGTGTTTTCTCCGTGCTTTATTGTTTGAGTTACCGAGGTTATAGCTTTAGTTATAGTTTACGTCGTGAGCGCCATTGTTGGTTTAGGTCCGCCGCGCCCCCTGCGTCTGTTTGTTTGCCGAGCTACGCTAACGACTCTCGCTTTATAAAACGTTACGATTGTTGCCGCTGTTGTCAGTGAGTGATACACCGTGAGAGCGATTTGACGTGAAGCTGCACCGAGCCCAGAGAGCAAGAAAGAGAGAAAGATAGATAGAGAGAGAGAGAGAGAGAGTCTAACAACGTCTTGATAGCATTGCGCTATTTCGGAGCCGTCAGAAGTACCGAGTAAAACTGCTAGGTGAGAGAGAGATAGAGAGTTCGAGATGGAAAGAGAGAGGAAAGAGAGAGAGAGAGAGAGAGAAAGAGAGGGGAAGAAAGAGAAAGAGAGAGAGAGAAAGGGAGAGAGAGAGAGAGAGAGAGAGAGAGAGAGAGAGAGAGAGAGAG